AAAAAAAGTAGAAACGTTTCGTCTCTCATCCGAGAGACTTCCTCAGTCTGAGGTGCTGTATTCAGCTCAGTCTCTTAAATAGCACCGTCTCAGAGTGGATCAACCAGTTTGCTGCTGACAACCAAAACCAGCTGATCACATGCTCAAGAAGGACCATCAGCCTAACAATGGATCATTAGCACCTGATGGCTGTTTATTATTCACAGAGGGCTGAGTGATACTAGCAATCACAGCAGTGTAAGAGGGGGACAGTTGAACCCGGAGGCTCCACCCCTGTTTAATGATGGACGATTTCTTTTCACAAAGATGGCCTCCTTTACTCCTCTCTCAAACCATCGTTCCTCTCTGTCCAGGATGTGAACATCTTCATCCCTGAAAGAGTGACCGCTGGCCTGGAGATGAGTGTAGACCGCAGAGTCCTGGCCTGATGATGTTGATCTTCTGTGCTGGTCCATCCTTTTGGCCAGTGGCTGTTTAGTTTCCCCGATGTAAGACTGATCACCCTCCTGACACTGAACAGCATACACAACATTGCTCTGTTTGTGCCGGGGAACTGGATCTTTGGGATGAACCAGTCTTTAATGTATTTTGGGGTTTAAAAGCCACTGGGACGTTATGTTTAGAAAATAAACGTCTCAGTTTCTCTGTTATTACTGTTTCTTAGTTATTTGTTTCTACATTTTTTGTTGTTTTGCTTTGTTTTTGTTTTTTTTGAATGTCCAGAGGACCAGATTTAACTTTTTTGGATTTTTCTACCTGGATTATTGAGCATGCATCAGGATATAACAAATATACACATTATTTTCTTTCAAATGGAAAAGTACAGTCATTTTCTGGAAAGCAGAAGAAAACATTTGACTTCCAGGTTCGACAGACCTTGATGGAGGCTCCAGCGAAGCGGCTCAGCTGTTTGATGTGCTGGCCTTTTTTCCCAATGATGGCTCCGACAGCTTGTGCGGGAATGTATACGTGGACAGTCTCCTGCTCTGGGGTCTGAGTGTGCAGCGTGCACACACACACACACACACACACACACACACAGATTACTTCATTACATTAAAGAGCACATAATGAATGAAGCATATTTTTCTGTGTTTGAGGTGAAAAGTGACGTTAACTCAGTTTGTTCAGGGAACAGTTACATTCACTTCACTTCTGATTTCTGAATATTAGAGTAGAACAAAACTTTGATGGGGACTGCCACGTGGCAGCTATTTTAAATTTTTGATTTGACAGTACTGTGTAAGGGATCGCTCTCGGCTACCATCATACCAAATGTCAGATTAATATGGCAACAACAACAAAGAAAAAAATCAAAGAGCTACAATCGTTTTTTCTTTTAAGCTATGGTGGCCATCTTGGACTTTTGATTTGGATTCAGTCTATTAGGAGTTGTTCTCAGCTACCAGAACACCAAATTTCAGCTGAATCTCTAAAAACCTGAGTTATATCCATTTGAAATTAGCTTTGGTGACCATCTTGAATTTTTAGATTTGCATCAGGAATGTAAAACAGCTCTCTCAGTTACAACCATACCAAATTTCAGCTCAATGTCTCAAAGAATGACTGCGTTATAGTCAATTTTGTGCTTTCTGAGGTAGCTGTGGGAGCCATCTTGAACCAAAATGGCTCCAAAAGTTAGTCCGTGTTTGTTCAGAGACCTCAGTAAGGTCACCCTCACTGTGGTAGTTAGAAACTAAGAGTTCTGTCAGTGTTTCTCAAAGGGAAAATGGCATATTTGTTTGTAAATTATGTTGCCATGGTAACTCGAAACGCCAATAAAAGTAAAAGCACACATCACAGAGCCAAGCTGGCGGTTTTGATAGAACAGTTGTGGGGGTACACACCGCTGTTCAGGCCGCATTAAATCAGAAAGAAGAGCAAGAGCCTTTTCAGGTGAATTAGTGTGGATAGGAGGGCTGCAGTCCCCAATAACCTGCTTTCATCTTTAGCTCAAGGTTCAAGTTCCTTTGTCGTTCACATCACATGTGGTACGACGTGGAAAGAACCTGTGTACACAGGGTACACCCAAAAATAGCAAAAAAAGCATATAAAGTATAAAAAGAAACAGTATACAAGGATCTGAGATACAAGTCAAACACTAATAATGCAAAATAACACGGTACATAAAGTATTAAGTAATATTATATTATTATCTCTAGATTCTCCTGCATTTCAGTCACTCTGAAGGCACAAACAGAAACTGTCTGCTCTTTATCTAGTTTAGGTTCTCATTAGCAGTCAGTCGCTTCACTTTAGGAAGACCTGAGCTCTTGATGCCCCAGCACAAAGGAGCAATTCTGACCAGTAGGAACTGGTTTGACTTTTAACTCAAACCTTAGACACCTGTCTGGTGTGAGCACTTTCATCTTGAGATTTTAATCTGAGTCTTTGGACCTCTAGAAGAAACTGTCTGGTAGACTTGAGCATCTTCCTGGTGGATGGATGCTCAGACCATAATGTAAACCAGTACTACTTGAGAAACTTTGGCCATGTAGATGTTAACATCAGTCAATACACAATTATTTTAAATGAATAAATATTAAGCTGCAACAAGGATTAGAGTTAGATCCTGTATGGTACAAATGAGTTTCTTATTTTATTTAAACGTTCTTGTAATCTTTTAAAGTGGACTTGATCAATAGGCTTTCTAAAAAATAAAAAGTTTTTCTACAATCCTGCCGTCTATCCACCTGTGGTACTTTTTGCATTTTCATAGGAAGAACTAAAGAAAATGTGTGTGTGTTTGTGACCGACACTAAAGATCTGATTTAAAATGGGTTGTTATTAAAGCAACACGCCTCATAGATCATAAAATAAATCACGTGAAGAAACATTGAATTTGATAAAACATTAAGAACAAAGGTTTCCTCTGGGAGAGGCATCTTACCCCAAAAGAGCCGTAGGGGGCGCTGCCAGCCGAGTTGCCAGGAGGTGGCGGGGGCATGTTGGACGAAGGTGGAAAGAGGCCCAGAGCGCCCAGGTTGAGTCCGGGGATCAGGTGGGTTTGTTGCTATGGAGACCACAGAGGGGTTAACAAGGCTGACTCTGATTGGCTGTCACGCTGAACAGATAAGAATCGCGCTGAGGGAGAACCAAATGTGGGATCTTTAAAACTAGAACCGTTTCTTGTCTAGGTAACAAAAAAGTACAAGTACACAAATCAACAGAGTGGAGAAACACTGTCCGACTTCCTTCACCTGTAAAGGTCCCTGGCTCTTTCAACATGAAAACAGAGTGAATCTGTGGGTTGGAGTTACCCTGAGTATCTTCAGCCACCTCAATCATTTCAGGAAACTTTTCAGCGATAAAAAACCCAGAAAGCATCGTTGCCTCAGATCGGTGCCCCCTTTTTAGGGGGCTTAGCCCCCAGTGTTGACAATGGCTCTTGGTTTGAACTGTTTTAGAAAGCATGGCACAACAAGAAGCAGCACTAAGCTTTTTGTTACACAGGAAGCTGTTAGCTCTGGAAGCAAGCTGTTAAAACAGCTGTGGACACAAAGACTCTTGCCACACACTTCAAAAGAGCAGGGTAACATATCATATCGTTCACGATAATACCGGTAAAAAAACGCTTGCCCAGGCAAATAAATTATATCATGATATGCTAATTTCATGATGTAATAAGTCAAGCGCCCCGCCCTGTTAACAGAAAACCGAGCGCGCCGAACGACCAAATAGAACTGCGCGCACCCCACTCCACCTGTCGGTACTGGTGTAACGCTAATTAGTTGCGCGCAGTACTAGCTAGCTAAAAAGCTAAAAACAAACAACGCGCGACTCGGCTTCTCTCCATTCAGCTCTAAACTGCAGGTACAGACAGCTCAACCGTCTCTACCCTTCCCGCACACCCCGCTCCGAGCTGCCGGTGCGGGAGCAGTAGAGGATGACATTTTTGGGGGAGTACCGCGGGTCACGTGATTCCAGCAGGATTCCGGCGGGACTGGAGTCAACCTCATTATAACTCACGTGACCGGGACGTGACTGGACTGAACGCTAACGGGAGCAGACAGGAGCAGGAACCGATCAATAAATAATTTAAATAAAAAAAAAAAAAAGGCACAGCTATTTTGTAGTTTTCTTTCAGTAAGCCTTCAGTTTAACACAAGTCAAAAGAACTACATTGCCCAGAAGTCAACTGTTCCAGCCGTAGCTTTTCACTGAGCCGCGAAGTCTCCAGCAAAGAAACAGAGTAGTTGAAAATAGTTTGCAACAGAAGGTAAGAAGTAACTGTCTTTCCATTAAACTCACAGAACGGGCAGGAAAGTGTCAAATAACCCCGAACTGCATGAGAGTTGTGTTGGTGCTGTGCTGCTTGTAAAATGTTTAGTCTTAGCTGCAGTGGGAGTCGGACTTTGTTTACCGTCAGTAAATGAACAGACTCAAACAGCGCATTTTTCTCCATCTTGTCCTTTGTAATTTAAAAATTATGCTCTGCTTTGTTATGTGGGTTTTTAGTTTAAAATCTTCATTATCTGTTGCTGTTTGTAGTGTCAAAAAACCCCGAACTCTTCCTGGTTAAAGTGCACACATTCTCCGGTAAAAATATCCCAGTTTTCATATTGTGATGTCCTGCTGGATACTGAAATTGAGGAAAACGTGAATAACCATCACTTTGGACACAAAGACCCTTGTCACACACTTCAAAAGAGCAGGTAAGATACATACAATCTTATAATCTCTGCCTGGTGAGGCTGATTAAATAAATATAAAATATGATAAGTGAAATAAATAAAGAAAAATTCAGCTTCTGTAATTTATAATTGCAAATGTCACATTTCCTTCACTTAATTTCAATTGTAAATCTCTTGTTTTTGATAAAATATTTTTTTCCAAAAGAAAGGCCAACAGATTGTAATTTGTAGTCACTGTAACACTATTTTGACTCGTGCACTTTCTTCTTTCACTTTTAGGTTCCACAAGGCTCTGGACTGGTCCAGCTGTGGAGAGATGAGGTGGAACACCAGACCTGCAATGGTCCAGTCTGTAAATGAAGCTCTGAAGTCTGGGAAGATGCACGACATCCTGCTTCACCCAAACAAGCTCGTTACCTCAAACACATAGAATGTGAACTTCTTGAGGACGTCGTCCAATGTATAATAACGCCTTTAAACATTTTTATTTGTCGAGTTCTCTGCTTGGTACATTATTTTTTTGTTAGTTTGTTTAAACAATTTAAAATATTACAGTAATGTCACTGTTTAAAGGAAACAATTGCTCAATAAATTAGTAAAATGCAACTTGTTATGTTTGGGTTCTTTCATCTAAGGTAGACATGGTGTGACCAATGGACTGGTTTGATTTTTTGTTTTTACTGTAACTGACCTTCAAAAGAGCCAGAAACAGACTCAGCAGCTGATCCTCCGTAGAATAATTATATGGACTACAGGACATGGATTTGATTTGTGCCCTTTAGTGAAGGTTTTTGTTTGGATTAAGGAAATAAATGTCTCTATTTCACCACAGATGAACTGTTCCTGTTGCCATATCTTTTGAAATAAAACTACACAACACAAAGTAATTTAAACAGGAATGGGTAGAAGATCAAATCAAATTCAATGTATTTCCTCAAAATTAAATGAAGAGAAAAAAACAGGAGCAGGAGTCATGTTACCAGGAGTGGGACAGGACAGGATTTTTTCTGTGGGACCAGGACAGGACAGGAGTGAAAATCCACTCCTGTGTTATCCCCTAACCCATGTGTGTCAAACTCAAGGCACGGGGGCCAAATGTGGCCGTCGTTGACATGTTACCTGGCCACAAGATGTTATTTTAAATGTTAAATACTTTTATCACTTTCATTTTTTTCAGTAATCTTTGATTATGATGTCAAAAGTGCAACAGAGAACGTCAAATGAGACCAATCAAACTCTTGTTGAGGAACCTGTGACCAAGAAAAGATGTTGAGTATCTAACTAGAGTTAATGTAGATTCTGAAACCGGCCCTTAGCTTGAAAAAGGTTTTAATTTTGGCCAACTTTTGTAAGTGGGTTTGACACCTCTGCTCTAACCCACACCTGCCTCCACTTTCATTTGCTCTACTCTGGACCCTTGAGCAAGGCCCTTAACCCCATCATCTGCTCCCACGGGCCCCCTTGATAGCAGCTCTCTGCTCCACACAGAGGGCTGTAGCTCGGCGGTCTGTGGTTGTGTCAGGAAGGACATCCGACATAATAACAATCACCAAGTCTTTGTACAAGTTAGTTCACTGTGGTGACCCCTGAAGAAGGGAGCAGCCGAAAAAAGAAGAAAGAAAGAAAGAAAACTATTACTCATGACTGAGGCCAAAACAGTTCATCTTAAAGGAGAATGTGACGGGTGTGAGAAATGTCTTTATGTGTCTGCAGATGGCACATGACACCACTGGGTGGTGCTGCTCATCCAATCTGAGGATCTTCTGTCCAGAATGAATTTTTATGCAACATGTGATTGTTTATGGGGCAGTGGCTGAGTGGTTAGAGCAGTCGTCCTCCAATGCGAGAGTTGGGGGTTCGAATCCACCAGCAGACACATGCTGAAGTGTCCCTGGGCAAGACAATGAACCCTTCATTGTCTCTGATGTGTGTCCCATCAGTGTATGAATGTGTAAATGACTGTAGTGTAAAGAGCTTTGAGTATCTTAATTAGATAGAAAGGTGATATACAAGTACAGTCCATTTACCATTGTTTATCAGTGGTGACATTAAATAATTATTGCCTGACAGAATATATTATATATACCTTCAAAAGCTTCAAAGGATTACAGTAGTCTAATTAACAGTTTTCTTCGTTAACACATCAGGAGTTTCATTCACCGGCATTCAAAAGGGAACGCTGCTTTTTACCCAAAAACTGGTGGAGCACTGCACAAACACTAAATATCCAGATGTGTTCCTCCACTTGGGGCAAACAAGGTTCTGGCTCATGGTTGGTTGCTTCATATTCTTAAACTTGCAGCCAGCTAAGGCTGACTTTTTGCTTTGAACAGAAAACCATGGAGGGAGTTGTTTTTGTGGAGTCCCGACAGTGCAGCAGGTGGTGTCAGTGTGGCGTGGGACAGTTCGTGTCCCAGACCACCTCTGAAGACATTCACCTACTGCAAGAAATAAGGGCTGATGTGCAGTGAACCAGTAGATGAAAGGATGGTGTTTATAATAGAACTGGTGCATGTGTGTGTGCACGCTCTTACATTCATAGCTGCGATGTCGTTCTCGTAGGCTTCTCTGACTTTCTTCATGATCTCTACTTCAGCCAGGCAGCAAGCGTCGATGGAGCCTTTGACTGTGATGGTTCTCTCTGGGTTATACAGGGTCAGGTCCTGGAGACTGCACACATGATCAGACTCTCAGATTATTAGAAACAAAAAGGGAAAAGCATTCACACAATAAAAAAATACAGATTTAGTTTTAGAAAGGTGTCTAACGGGGAGATGGTTATCTTGGTGTCTGTGTCCTGCTCCACTTTCTTCAGGTTGCGTCCCTCCTTCCCGATGAGGCGGCCGACAAAGTTGTTGTGAGCCAGAACCTTCAAAGGAACCTCGTCAGCGCTAGGAGGAGAAACCAGCAGTCACTACGTGTTTCATGGTAAGGGTTGGCATCACGTTGTACTCCCTGCTGGATACCCACGTCTTGGTGTCTTTAGCTTCCTGGTGCATGATTTCCAGGATCATGCGGCAGGCGGCGGAGCAGCCCTCAGGGGTGGAGTGGATGCTGATGGGCTTCTCAGCAGCACCGGCATTCTCCTTACGGTGAACGTCAATCCTGCAGGAACAGGATGAGTCGTTGTTCATATCATGAACGGCTCCTTGGTACATCACCTAGATACATCAGCTGTCATATAATATGCACCGGACCTCGTTGTGATCATCACCAAGAAGAAAATGTTCAGAAACAGGATCAGAGAAGAGTGTGGTCAAATGAAACTGGACTTTATTGCTGTGGTATTACTGAGCTTATTCATATTTACATTTGTTGACTTTCTGTGCACAAATTGAACTTTACCATTATGGTTCTAAAATAGGATTGCACTTTTGTTTTTGTTCTTTAAAGAAATAAAATAAAATCAGAGGCCGTTGAAGCAGTCAGTTAGTTTGTGTTTTATTTTATTTATTTTTTAACAAAATGCTAATTTTATTTGTTTTTTTTTATTTTGAAAAAACAAAATGACACACTCCCTGCAAACAATCATCTAGAAAGTAAATGTCCTCAGCAGAGCCAGTTTGGCACATCATTAACTCGGTGTATTTTTTAATGTGAATCTAGAATGTCATGTTTATATTTTTGTTTACAAATAAGTTTGTTTTAATGTGGCTGGACTGAACGATTTTTGTTTTATGAAACGGGGGTGTGGCCTGCATGTTTGAGGAGTGTGAAGCAAAGAAATGATCACCCACTTGCTCTGTGTCTGCTTGGTGATGTTGCGGATGGTAGCACCCTCCTTGCCGATGATGGCTCCAACGTACTGGGTGGGTACCAGCAGTCTGAGAGGAATGTCCGCATGGGGGGTTTTGGGGGGCATTCCAGAGCTTGGGGACCCACCACGGGGACCCCCGCGGGGCCCGTAGCCAGGGCGCCGGCCATTATCAGGCCCCCGCTGGCCTCCTTCCATGTCAGAGGTCTCATCAGGGATGTAGGAGACACGCAGAGTGTTGTTCTCCAACTGGTACCCGTTCAGCTTCTGGATGGCTCTGTCAGAGCACACAAGTTACACTCGTCATCATCATCATCAGAAATTCGGGCTTCTGTAAGAGCGCTGCACATTTCAAATACAACCCCTGCAATAGTCCTGTAGGAACACTTCATGATATGTTCCCTTTGACAGTTAATGGGATTTTAAAAAATCCTCTTAATACCTGAAAGATACTAAACTTCTTCTCACAAATAAAGCTCCCGTGTTCAGACATAGTTTAAAGATGTCCTAGTTCTATGTGACTCCAAGACTTTCCTCTGTGCTCAGACTGTAGGCTGACTTCTGAGACGCTGAGCCTCCATGTGTTGAGCTCATCTCCTCCTGGGCCACCATAGATTCATCATGGGACTCTTCGGGGCTCACCCCAGTCATATGAGGAAACTACACTTTTAAGCAGTATAAACACTAGGAAGCACAGTTCCCTCAAATGATGGTGGCAGTTTATATGGCGGTGGCCATCTTGGATTTTGACTTGGCAACCCAAGTTTTGAAAGGAAACTTTCTTACAGCTACATGCAGCCACACACCAGAATGGAAGTCAGTCCCACACTTATTCTTCAAGTTAACACACCCACAACATGCACAGACAGACCATCAACGCATGGCAGCAAAGCCCTTTGTCTTTTTTCTTTATGATTAGATTAGTTGCTGCAAACACAGTAGATTTGTAGCTCGAAATTAAAAACTAATAATAAAATGGTAAATGGACTGTACTTGTATATATCACCTTTCTATCTCATCAAAACACTCAAAGCTCTTTCCAACACAACCTGTGCCTCATGTATCCATTCAAACAGCACTCTACTAGATCTCTACAAAGAATAATCAGAGCTTTATCACATCCATACACCGATGGGACACACATCGGAGGGTTCACTGTCTTGCTCAGGGACACTTATCAATCAACCTTTATTTATACAGGTAAATCCCATTGAGCCTCGAGGACTCATTTACAAGAGAGACCTGAAGGCATGTGACTAATGGTGGAATTGAACCCCCAACTTTTGCATTGGAGGACAACTGGTCTAACCACTCAGCCACAGCTGCCCCCCAAAAAAATATAGTTTGCCTTAAAAAGTAACATTTTGAATGTAGATTCAAGCATTTCATAGAAATGACCAGTAGATGGCAGACACACCCGACAACAGAGTTTTTACTGGGTCAGTAGGTCATCACAGTTTGATTGGTTTTTGTTGATATTGAAAATACAATTTTTTAAATCAAACAATCTTTATTTTGCATTTGCAGACAGGATCCCAAGTTAACTAGCATCAAACACAAATGTTTGTCAAACATGTTCAAAAGAATGAATAATAAAAACAAAACAGTAAAAGACATTAAAAAGCCCTTCGGACACTTACTGCCGTGCATGTTCCCGGGATGCATATGTTACGTTAACCACTGCAGTCTCGCTCTCTGTGTTAACTGAAAGAAAAGAGCACAAATATCGAGTCAGGGTAAAACGTCAGCTGGTTTTATTATTACTCTGGTTTTATACAGCACGTCGGCTGGATTTATTTCAAGCAGTGGTAACGTGGATCAAATCATGTTCCATAAATGACCAAAGTATTTTCCTTTGTACATAATTCCATAATATTCCAAAATCTGTAATTCACTAGACGACAACGTCATTCAGATGTAAAGTGGATCAGTAAAGAGTCAGCGGAGCGAGGGGTCTCCTGTGTGGACGTTTTTTACTGGAGTGAAACATCCCAAATATTTATGTGTTCAGTGTGACTCTGAACATCCTTCCCTCGTGCCAGTCAGTGTTCCTACACTCTCAACATTAAGTCCAATTTACCAAACTTTTCTGTCAATTTTTGAGCCTTCTGACATTAAAACATTTGTGCAGTGAACGTTTATGTAGACCTCATTAGACGTGGAATATTTTATCACCGCTGCTACCTAAAATCTGTAAAACTGTGCGAGTCCAAGTTCTCAATCAGAAACTCAAAAACTAAGATGATGGTGGCTGAAACCTTAAACTTAAGGCTTGGCACACACTTTTTGCCCCACTCCCCTCAGGAAGGAGGTTAAGGAGCATTAAGTGTAGAACCACTAGACTGAGGAACAGCTTCTACCCTGAGGCTGTTAGACTCATTAATCTCTAACTAGAATAATCACTGTGAAAAACCATATCATGTTGCTGCTGATCTGTTTCATGTTGCTGCTGATCTGTTTCAATGTTGATGTGTTCATGCGTGCACATCTGCTCACAGACTCATGTTCATGTTTGTGCTGATGTTCAATGTTTTTATGTTATGAGTGCTTAGTGTATATTTAGTTGATGTTTTTCTTGGTTCATATCTTAGATGTTATTACTGTTTTTCTTATACATTTTATTGTTGGATGTAACTGGGACCTTGTGTACATAATTTCGCTCCACCACATGTACCACATGAGGTGCGAATGACAATAAAGAAACTCTGACTCTGACTCTGATGTGGTTGATGAACCGTAAGTGGACATCACAATGACTGTGTCCATCTTTCACATACAATCAGTGTAAAAATATTCTGCTACACCTTTTTGATATATATTTTAAGACATGTCAAAATCCCCTTGGGTAAGTATGAAAAGAACAAAAGAGTTTGTACGCATATATTTGTATTTCCCTGATGCATTTTTTCAGACCTGGATAATACTAAAATCAAATAGACTTCTTACAACGCTCTGTGAAGTGGATTTAATGAAGAGCTGCAGTGGAGCAGGCAGCTTGCACTGGTGCTTTGAGGCAAAAACAGTTGCAGGTTCCCTCTCCCTGTTCATCTGGGAGTTTTCTCAGGTTTTCTCTCAGACCAAAAAACATTTGTGCTCAGTTAATTAACCTAAACTGTCACTAGGGTGGGTGTGAAGGGTTTGTTATGGACAGACAGCCTGTCCATAGTGGACCCTGCCTTCAAGCCACTGTCCACTAGAAATAGGCCCCGACCTTCAACCCCCCTGAACTGAAACAAGCAGGTAAAGCAAAAAGTATTCAATTAACCTGAGAAATAACTGCACAGCTAAGACAACTCGCATGTTTTTCTTCATCAGTCATAACACCTGTCAGGAATAATTTGCTAAGTAATGTTTGTAAGTGTGGGCGGCACAGTGGCTCAGGTGGTACACCAGTCGTCTCTCAGTGAGAGGGTTGCTGGATCTAACATTGACCCAGGGGGCCTATCTGGGTGGAGTTTGCATGTTCTCCCCATGCATGCATGGGATTTCTCCGAATGGCTGTTTGTCTCGTTTGTCTCCATGTGTCCCTGTGATGGACTGGAGACCAGCCCAGGCTGTCCCCACCTCTCACACAGTAACTGCTGGATATGGACACCAGTGACCCCTGTGACCCAAATAGGGAAGAAGCGGGTAAAGATAATGGATGGATGGATTGATTCATCGATGGATGAAATGGATGGACAGACTGATAGAATGGATGGATGGAAGGATGGAATGGATGGACAGACTGATGGATGGATGGATGGATGGATGGATGGACAGACTGATAGGATGGATGGATGGACGGACGGACGGACGGACGGACGGACGGATGGATGGATGGACTCCATATGATGTGCGTCCTGTGAGTCAATCCTACACACACTTGAGTTGGAGCACCAGTAGAACCCAGTTTATATGGAGCTGCCATGTTGTGCAACAAAATGTATTTTTGGGACCGGAGTCTTCACAGCAGCATTGTGGGACTTTAAGCCCCTCCCCACTGTCATTGTATCACATGACCTTTGTTTTAATCCTGAAATAATTGAACAAAGCAAAATGTGTTAGAAAAATTAACATACAGCAGCAGGGAAAGAACTGATTCCATAAGAGTCCAGACATGACAAACATGTGTTAGATTTTTTAATAAGGTCCTGTTGGTTCATCTGGCAGCGAGACTTAAAGCTTGCATCAGAACATCCTGCAGGGACTCTGGCACCACTCTGGCCTCAACTTCCATGTTGTTAGAGGTCTTTCCTTAGATGTCAATAGAAGTTCCCCCCACCCCCCTCCTGCTGCCACTGGGGGGGTCAGACAGGACTCACTCTGCAGGTGAGTGTGTGCAGCGGTGTATGGTTTAAAGTTACAGGTGAGACGGATCCTTTTAGATGTAACATAAAGAAGAAGGACTCACCTTGTTCACAGTTTTCTACGGTTCCACACTGAGCCAACAGACCGTCCAAAACCTGACACACACACACAAAGAGGAAGAAAAGAACACTGTCAGATCAAATTAACAAAATTTGAAACATGGAAATAAAAAGCATGCAAGTTCAATTGTAATGATTGTGCACTAAAGTTTTTACGATGAGTTCAAAAACAAGGTGAAGGTTTTAGTTTTTATCAGAAGCATAATCACATAAAACACGCGTTGTTGACATTTTGGCCCGACAACTTTTAGAAATTAAAAATAAATTTGAAAGTTTAACGTTAGCATCAACTTCATAAGAAAACCAAAAGGCTGTGAGGGAAGTCCAGATGTTTGACTGCTGTAAAGACATCGTCCTCATGTGGACATGGAGACATACAGCTTGCAGCAGCAGCAGTTGGTGTCCACACCCCGTCTATTTAATCTGGTTTGATGAAACCAACTGAAGTAAAAAGAAAAGATTAAGAAAAATAGAAAGATGTGCTTTCCAAACACCTTTGTTCACAAACACACTGCTTTTGAAATTTATCAGAATCAGCTTTATTATCATTGAACTGAAATACAGTGAGGTTATGGTCGTACAGTTGTCCGAAAGACGGGCGGCCTGCACGTTGCTGCTGCTCCTGAGAGCACAGCCCCTTATTCTTTTTAGAATATTTTTTAGATAGAAAAGGCCATGTACAGTGGTATTACAAAAAAGAGAAAACAGACATGTTGATGTTTCTGAAGAAAAACTGTTCAGTGAAAAGGTCCTCAGTGTGTAGCAGTGAGCATTAGACACTGACGTGTCACTGGTTTACAACTGGTCTTTTGACCTGGAAATTATTTGTTTATTTTTATGTAAGAAAACTGCTTAGAATAGAAATACCAAAATTAAAAAATAAAATTCACAATATGTACTGTAATGTGTAACGTAATTTTATTTGTCAGAATTAATAGTAATTACAAATTTGGTACCGAAAAAAGGGGAGGGACCAGACAAAGTGCAGCCCAAACACCCCAATGATGAGCAAAATAAATGGACTCGATGTTCCCTCGCCCGGACGTTGGTCACCGGGGCTCTACTCCGGAGCCAGGCCTGGAGGTGGGGCACGCGGGCGGGCGCCTGGTGGCCGGGTGCCTGGTGGCCGGGCGCCTGGTGGCCGAGCTTTTGCCCATGGAGCTCGACCAGGCACAGCCCGAAGAGGAGACGTGGGTCCACCTTCCAATGGGCTCACCACCTGTGGGAGGGGCCAAAGGGGTCGGGTACAATGTGGGATGGGTTGTGGCCGAGGTCAGGGACCTTGGCGGTCTGATCCTCGACTACAGAAGCTGCCTATTGGGACGTGGAATGTCACCTCACTGGTGGGGAAGAAGCCTGAGCTGGTGTGTGAGGCTGAGAGGTTCCGGCTAGAAATAGTCGGACTCACCTCTACGCATGGCTCTGGCTATGGAACCGGTTTCCTTGAGAGGGGTTTGACACACTTCCACTCTGGATTTGCCCCTGGCGAGTGGCGCCGAGCAGGAGTGGGCATACTTATTGCCCCCCCATCTTGGTGCCTGTGTGTTGGGGTTCACTCCGGTGAATGAGATGGTAGCCTCCCTCCGCCTACGTTTGGGGGGACGGGTTCTGACTGTCGTTTGTGCTTATGCACCAAACGGCAGCTCAGATTATCCACCCTTTTTGTAGTCCTTGGAGGGGGTACTGGAAAGTGCACCACCTGGGGACTCCCTTGGTCATGGAACACTGGACCAGCTCTACACTCTCAGCAGGGTCCTGGAGGGTGCGTGGGAGTTTGCCCAACCGGTCTACATGTACTTTGTGGACTTGGAGAAGGCGTTCGACCGCGTCCCTCGGGGAACCCTGTGGGGGGTACTCTGGGAGTATGGGGTACCAGGCCCTTTGATACGGGCTGTTAGGTCCCTGTATGACTGGTGTCAGAGCCTGGTCCGCATTGCTGACAGTAAGTCGGGCTTGTTCCCGGTGAGAGTTGGACTCCGCCAAGGTTGCTCTTTGTCGCAGATTCTGTTCATAACTTTTATGGACAGAATTTCTAGATGCAGCCAAGGTGTTGAGGGGATCCGTTTTGGTGGCCTTAGGATTGTGTCTCTGTTTTTTGCAGCTGATGTGGTCCTATTGGCTTCATCAGATCGTGATCTACAGCTTTCGCTGGAGCGGTTCGCAGCAGAGTACGACAGCGGGGCAGAAGATCAGTTCCTCCAAATCCGAGGCCATGGTCTTGAGCCGGAAAAGGGTAGAGTGCCCTCTCCGGGTCAGGGAGGAGGTCCTGCCCCAAGTGGAGGAGTTCAAGTATCTTGGGGTCTTGTTCACAAATGAGGGAAAAATGGAGCGAGAAATCGATAGACAGATAGGTGCAGCGTCTGCAGTGAAGCGGGCGCTGTACAGTTCTGTCACTGTGAAGAGAGAGCTGAGTCAAAAGGCAAAGCTCTCAATTTACCGATCGATCTACGTTCCTACCCTCATCTATAGTCATGAGCTTTGGGTTGTGACCGAAAGAACGAGATCTCGGATGCAAGTGGCCGAAATGAGTTTTCTCCGCAGGGTGTCTGGGCTCTCCCTTAGAGATAGGGTGAGAAGCTCGATCATCTGGGAGGGACTCAGAGTAGAGCCGCTGCTTCTCCACATCGACAGGAGCCAGTTGAGGTGCCTCGGGCATCTGGTTAGGATGCCTCCTGGACGCCTCCCTGGTGAGGTGTTCCAGACACATCCCACCGGGAGGAGACCCAGAGGAAGATCTAGGACACGCTGGAGGGACAATGTTTCTCGGCTGGACTGGGAATGCCTCGGGATTCCCCCGGAGGAGCTGTCCCAAGTGGCTGGGGAGAGGGAAGTCTGGGCCTCCCTACTTAAGCTGCTACCCCCGCAACTCGACCCCGGATAAGCGAAAGAAAATGGATGGATCGATGGTACCAAAAAAAGAACCATCCAGGAACCGACACTGAAGTGAAGGTACTGCCACCGGTACCGATACAGATTTTTTTAGAAAGGTACCCAGCAGCCCTATCCAACATTAATAAAACTTACCTCAAGTTGCCTTTTTGGACATGCATGCATATATTTGTACAAATTGTACTTAAGAGATTATTACAGCCTCACATAAAATCAATGATGATGATGATATCGATAATTCAGCACTGTTCATATGTATCAGATTGGTATCGGATCTATACCGACCAAACAGATATCGCTATCGGATCGGAAGTGGAAAAAGTGGATCGGTGCAACCCTAATGATCCGGTTGTCCATCTGAAGCTTAATGGGACTTTTTCATCTCTTTCAACCAGTCGATGAGGACCTCCAAGCGGGGAAACACTGGTAAGTAAAATCTAGTAGCTACAAATAAGTATGTTGTTAAAATTAGTAGGTTTAAGAGTTTAGAGCATTGATTGTGGGCTTCATTGCTGCAGGTGCCGCGTACGTCTGCAGAAACAGAAGAGAGTCAGACTGAAATGAACCGAGCCGCTCCTGTTCTGCAGAGCCTGGCAAGTAAAATTTTGTAGCAACATATACAGTACTGTATGTTGTTAAAATGACATAGGCTTAAGAGTTTAGAACATTGCAAGTGTGTGGGATTTAAAATGCCTTAATATATACCTGTATATAAAAATATTAAAATAAACTTCTACTTACTACTACCAGTACTTGTGTACATAATTTCATTCCATCTCATGTACCATAAGATGGTTATGACAATAAAGTTTAGTTGAACTTGAGACTACTGTATCACTACTTCGTGGTTTTTCACTTATTGCAGGGGGGGTCCACTAACACCCGCGATAAACGAGGGACTATATATGTACTACTACTACTTGGATTTGGAGGGACTACTGTATATACACACACAGACAGAGCGTTTCCCCTACCGTTATACAAGCGGGGCACCCCGTCCAGTCAACAGAACCGAGCGCCCCGTCTACCGAACCCACACCCCCCTCTTTTGGTACTGACGTAACGCTAAGCTAGCGGCTCACAATGCAGGTGTGCTAGCTAAAAAGATAAAGGCAGCCTCTTCCCTCATGCTGAACCTGACAACCCCCCCCCCCCCCCCAAAAAAAAACCAGTCGGTACAAACATTGCGCGGACAAGATGAGCACCTCGCCATGGCAAGTTATCTAGAGGAAACACTGATATATACGTGCGCGCACACACACACACCTTTTCTTACTACTAGATACAGCCACACACCAAGATGGAAGTCAGTATCTCATTTATTTTTCATACTTATCATGCTCACAACATGCATGGACGGATGGACAAACAGACAAACGGAGGGCATTTCCAGTTCCCCCTTCTCGTTCTGAGACAGGAGAAAATTAATTCTAACAAAGATTCTGGGAGGTTGCAGAAAAGATGTGGTTGGTTGAAAAGTAACTGAGCTGAGATGAACAGTTGTTGCAGGTGCAAGAAAAAAATGGAATAATAAAAAGAAAGGAGTTACCTCCCACTGTAAGTGTGGTGGAATGTTTCTGATCTGCAGTTTTCTGGTCCTGTGGAGAGAAGAACACAGATATATGAGTGGAAAAAAACAGCAAACAGAAAAGAAAATGCCATTGCAATAATAATAATAATAATAATAATAATAATAACTGAATTTGAAGTAGTTCAAAATTTTAGAAGAAAAATAAAAGGTGATGGCAACTTTGTCATGAAGGAAGTGGAGAAAGAAATGGTAAATGTTTCCATTTTATGTGAATCCCAATCAAATTTATTGTACAAAGTTTTTACTCACAACTACATTTATAACCACATTTTACTTTACTGCCACTGAAACCATCATCTTATAAACACTCCCAGCCAAAAGTAGAAATGTTTGTCTGCGTTTACGTTAATAAACTCAATCCAGATTCTGGTTGAAAGTCAGTCAATTACCTCAGATAAAAAGCTGTATTTTACTGAACCCATAATAACACTGCTATGAGATCTGTATACACCAAAATGACATCTAAGATCACTTCTACATCTGTACAGGAGAGAGGGATGAAGATATAATGGCTCATTTTAAAACCTGAAATGTAAAAATTGGAGAATGCAACAAAATGGAAGATTCAACACAATCTGCTGGCTTCCTTAGATAGAGAACTTTTACTAATTGGCCTTTTATGTATGTGAATGTTTTTGTACAGTGCCCTGAGATGTCATGAATTGGCACTACATAAATAAAATGAACTGAATTGAATTGTATTGTATTGAATTAAAACTGGGGTTCTTAATATCAATGTTGTCATTGTGTAGGTTGAGTTAAAAAATAAACAAATGATAAATTATTATGGATAGCAAATCATATATTATGATAACTAGCACTTTCAATTTCATGTACAAAATCTACAGTAGAGGAAATAATTAAACTTAATTTGCTCATTTACAAACTCCCAGACAGAATTTTGGCTCCTGCTGACTGGGTGTGCCCATGTGATTCAACAATCGATCCATTAAAGACACTACTGATCTCAACCCCTGTTTAAAGCACACCTGTCCATCGAACAAATTCAGCTCATTCCAATTTCCCCACTAACACACACAAAATCAACGAGCTGCCAAAGGACGTCAGAGATAAGACAGTCTGTACAAGACTTCAATAGTTTACAAGACATTCAGCAAGAAGCTTGGTGAGAAGATGACAGTTATTCAAAGGAAGAAACATAAAATCCATCCATACAGCCATCATCTTCCGCTTATTCCGAAGTTGGGTCGCGGGGGCAGCAGCTTGAGGTCCAGACATCTCTTTCCACAGCCACCTCTTCCAGCTCTTCTGGGAGGATTCCAAGGCGTTCCCAGGCCAACCTAGAGACATAGTCTCTCCAGCGTATCCTGGGTCTTCCCGGGTCTCCTCCCATTCGGACATGCCCGAAACACCTCTCTAGGGAGGCACGCAGGGAGCATCCTTACCAGATACGAGACATGTGTTTCTGTAAAGTGCCCTGAGACAACTTTGTTGTTATTTGGCGCTATATAAATAAACTGAATTGAATTGAATAGATACCCGAAATACCTCAACTGGCTCCTTTCGATGTGGAGGAGCAGCGGTTCAACTCAGAGTCTCTCCCAGAGAAATATAAAATGATCAATCAATCACCCTTGGTCTGAAGCTCCATGTAAGAGCTTGTCTCATAGGGTGAGGACAACGAGAAGAAACGTGAGGAATCAGATAAAAACTACATGAGATGAGGTCAATGTTATGAAGGCAGTTGGGACAACTGTTACAAAGAATTCTATTGTTAAGAAACTACACCATAATGGACTGTAAAGTTAACGGAAAGATCTCCTTGATTAATAAGACACACAAACAGACTTGCCTTAGGTGTGCAATAAACATCAAAATCTGTGATGTCCAATCCTGGTTCTTGAGGGCCATTATCCTGCATGTTTTAAATGTTTCTCTGCTTTGACTCACCTGATTTGAATGAATAAGGCTTTTGCAAAACAAGACATGCTGAAGAGCAGGGAAACTACTAAAACGTGCAAGATTGATGGCCTTTGAAGACCAGGATTTGGCGCCACTGATCTAGATGACTCCGACATGGAGAAAAAGTGATGTTGTCAGATGAAACCCAGTGTGAACTCCTTGGCATCAATCCACCATGCCCTATTTGGAGGAAAAGAAACAAGTATGGTATGATCCAAAGAATGCCATCCTCACAGTCAAGTACAGAGGCAGGCATATTGTACTTTGTAGCCGTGTCTCTGCTAAAAGTAAAAGGACAACCTCACCACATCGAAGGGACGCAGGACAGGAACTATGTACCTTAAAACTCTGGAAAATAATATTCTTCCTTCAGTCAGAACACTAAAGATAGGTTGTGGTCGTTTGGATGGATCTTAAAGCATGACGATGACAATAACCCTAACAAATATCACCAAAGGAAGAAAAGAGTGGCTAAAGAAGAAACACATTAAGGTAATTTAGGGACCTAGTCAGTCTCCAGACCTGTGTACAATAGAAAATCAGTGGATGGGGCTGAAGCATGGAGATGACAAGCAGCCAAGAAACCTAAAGAAGTTAGAGTTTCTGTAGAGAAGTTGGTCAAAATCCCTCCTGAGGTGTGTGATAATTTGGTGATCAACTACAAGAAACATGTAGCCTCTGTGGTCACAGCAAAGGTTTCTTCAACAAGTACTAAGCCATGTTTTGTTTGTGTATCCAAAATACTCTTGGCCTTGAACATTTTTTTTAACGTGGTCAAACTGGGTATTTAAATACTGATATTTTTATCAGATGACCACAGTACTACTACACCCCTGTAAGGTTAGTTAGTGATTACTGGTATTTCAGGGTACAATTTATCAATTTTAACATTTAATACAAATTTTATTTTTCCTTATATTGAAAATTATGAGTGGATCATCTCCCCTGAAGAATGAACCACATTTGAAACAAAATCATAACAGACTAGTGACTGAGCACTTGTGCACATACGCCAATGTGAAACATATTATTTTGTTTAAAAAAGTTAAATCTGGTCCTCTGGACATTCAAAAAAAACAAAACAAAACAACAACAAAAAAAATTTTTTTTGTTGTTTTGCTTTGTTTTTTTTTTTGTTTTTTTGACTGTCCAGAGGACCAGATTTAACTTTTTTAGATTTTTCTACCTGGATTATTGAGCATGCATCAGGATATTATTTTGTTGTCCTTCCCACCAATCCATCTTCTTATTCTGCTCATTTCTAATCTGTTGCCATGGATTCAGCCAATGGTGAAAGCTGTGGGTCAGCAGGTGGCAATAGTAGGGGTCAAGCATGTTCTCTGATGGTGACTTGTTGGGGGTTGGAGTATATGGTTTGGAAAAGCACTGGAGTGGATAATGGGAGGTGATGTGTTTTTAATGGCCTACTTCTGCTCATGTACGACTGACATCAGCGTATCTGACAGCTTCTGGTAGTAATTACTCATACAGGTGGGATTTATTTGTGTTAGCCTGGTTGGGCAGCAGAGTAGCGACACAGCTGGGGGTAAAGAACTGACCAAAAACCAAAGCGCTTGGTTTTTGGGGATGGGTGCTATCAGGTATTTTTAGATGCACAAAAGACTATTCATCTGTGCTTGGCGCCTCAAGGGGGTTCGGGGTGGGTTTAAGTATGAGAGGAAAAGATTTAGGAAGGGGGAAGGGTCATTCAAAGCTATTGATGCTCAGCTGGATGTGGGCAGTAATTGTTACTACGACAGAGCTTTAGGGCCACGTTAAGAAAAAAAAAATTTAAGCTATAAAATTACGAGAATAAAGTCGAATAAAGTCTTAATATTAGGAGAATAAAGTCGTACAAGACTATTTTTACAGCTCTCTGGGTTTTTTTTGTATTTTTTTTTTCACGAGTCAGATCCACAACGCAACCTGTCAATTAATCTAGTAGGCATGTCAGCTAATGACCAATCCGAAGCTAAATGCTCCTTACCTGCAGAGAGCTGCGCTGCAGCCCATCAGAGCATACCACCTTACTGTAAGCAGGTTCAAAGTCCTGATACTGATAATAATCTGATGCTGACGTGCTAACAGATTAAGTATCTCCTTATTTGTAAAACCAATACCAAAGTATATGTCATGTCGGAGTTCGGATAATATTACAACTCATTTAGCTTCGGATTGGTCATTTGCTGACGTGCCTACTGGACTGACTGACAGGTCGCGTCGTGAATCTAACTCGTGGAAAGAAGAAAAAAAACATGAGAGCTGCAAAAAGTCTCGTACGACTTTATTCTCATAATATTAAAACTTTATTCAGTTTTATTCTCGTAATACTAGGACTTTATTCTCGTAATTTTATGGCTTTTAATTTCTTTTTTTTTTTCCTTAGCGTGGCCCTATATGGGCAGTGATTGTTACAGTTGGTAATAAGTCATAAAAATAGAGCATGCCATATGTTTTTGCATTTCTTCATTAGTTATGTTTCAAAGTTTCGTGAGTGGGCCGAATGTATTCTTATTTACCTCTAAAAATATATATTCATTAGGTGTGAAACATATTTCTATGAAGTGAGGATTCAAATTTTAAACCAGAGCAGTTTATAAAAATGATGTAGCTCTACTGAAACCTGAAAGTGTTTATTATTTTGGAAACCTCAAACCAAGCATTTCAAACGTAATGTTTTCAATAGCCAAACATTTATTTGTTGCTGAATTGTATAAATCTAGTGTCTCACGCCACGTTCACACAGGAGCTACACCTGGAGCAGCCATTCTGTGTTTGTGTCTCTCTTCGGTCTTCTCAGATCCCAGGCCGGTTTAAGCCCGGTTCTGCTGGACGTTTCTTCCAGTTAAATGGCAAATGTTCCTTTCTATGGGGTTGCCAATGTGCTTGCTCAAGATGGCAGATTGTGATAAAGTGAAGATGAAAAACAATCTGTTAAAGTGTTGGCTATTTCATTTTTTGGTAGGGACTCCAAAAATGCCATTTTGTGTGGATCTAGAGCTAAAATAAATAAATAAATAACCCTTTAAAAGCCATTCCTGTGGACAGAGCCTAAAACTGAAAACCCAAAGAGTCACAGGAGAG